TGGCAACTTATTATACTTCTGCAAATGAAGCCCTACAAGGGAAGGTTAACATTGGTTTGGATCTTACTGTTTTCTTCATAGTGTGAGAAATCCTTTTATTAAGTCCCCTGAATTAATCCACTACAATAACTATGTTTAAAGAGAGAAAGAATGATCACATGAAATGATCACCTTTTAAGCTAATTTAAAAGGTGAAGAAAAGAGAGATAAGAGATAAATATAAAACCTGGGGAAATTCAGATACAAGGAAGGAAGGGGAGAAAGAGAGGGGGGAAGTAGGAAGGGAAAGGAGGGAGGGAAAAGTGGGTTAGGAAACCAGTTAAAAATCATGCAAACGTCCTGGCAGAAAATGATATGAGCTAACACTAAGGTAGAAAAAGTTCAATTTTGGAAACAATTTAAAAAGAAGACAAGTTGGCAGAACTCAATGAATCTAATGTTAATTCTTAAAACTAAGCTCATTTTTAAAACTACAATACACACACCATTGAGAACCTGAGTACAGGCAGTCCTTAAGATGGCTGTGTTAGGTTAAATAGTCTGGATTCTGACGATTGATGCTGCTACTTCCCCACCCTGTGTCACGGATACTCATAACCAGCCTGTAAAGGGACATTTCCTCTTATTTATTTTAAGGTAGAGCTGCCCATCAGCTAACAGTTCAGTTTTTGTAGCATGATCATCTTTGTCTTTACCCTGGGAATTGTCCACTCACTTATTCAACTGTTTCAGCATATTTTCATTATTACAAAAAAAAAAAAAAAAATGGGGAATAGAAAAGTTAAAATCCTGAGAGTAATTATGAGAAGTATTTTTCTAATAAACTTAAGTGAGACAAAGATGAAAGTTATTACACATATCAAAAATGGCAAATCCTTCAAAGCCAGCCTCAGCAATTTAGCAAGGAGCTAAGCAACTCAGTGAGAACCTGTCTCTAAATTTAAAAAAAATATATAAAATAGGGCAGAGGATGTGGCTCAGTTGTCAAGTGCCCCTGAGTTCAATCTCCGGTAACCAACCCTCCAAAAATGGCAAAATTTTGGCCCAAATCAGACCTTTATTGAACTTGAACAGTTCAACCTTTTTAAATTAGGAGGGAATAATCAAAATTATAGAAATTTTAAAGAAAGTAGTATACACTAAATTCTGTGTCTCAGTGGCAAGGGTAATTAGAGATTTTGCAATATATTTGGCTGTCTAGGGTCATCATCCCTTATAACACACAGGCTATGCACAATCTTTGGACCTACTTTCAGGAATGCATCCTTTCAGGAAAGTAGGAAAGACAGTGTCAAACCAGTCATCATGTTTCTGATCAAATACACAAACACATGCAAGATAAGATTTATTTTTATAAACTGAAAAGCATGAGGCAAAGTTGGTTATTTTTATTGGCATTGGCACTTGCATTCCCAATTCCCTGACACTGTCATTTGCAACCAAAAACATCTAAAAATATAAAGGCAGCTCTTTTATCATTGTGCCTGTCACAACATGGAACATGGAACATTAATTCACTGGGATTTGGTGTTTCATATGTCCACTTGAAACAGTCTATCTTGTATTTTTTTCCACTCCGGACTATTAAATTTGTAGATTATGTCTGGCCAAACTGCAAATTCTCTACTGCCTTCTCCACAACACTTCATAGGTACATGGTGACTGTCCCAAACAATTTGTATGCTAAGAAAATATCAACTATCATTCCCTTATTCGTTCTTCTCCCACACTCTCTGGACATTTATTATATAACTACCATGTGCCAGCCACTTGGACAAGGGCTTTCAATAAGGAACAAGGAATTCACCAATCTCTCAGGGATAAACATTCAGATAACAAGGTGATAGATTGCTATATAAAAGTTATCCACAAAGAGCAACAGGACTCATGAGATACCCCTGGGTTAATGTGAGAAAATGAGGAAAAGATCCAGCGGGAAAGTCTGATTTAAACTGTATCTTGAAGGCTACATGAGTAGTAGGTTGTTGGTTAGAAAAGAGGAACAAAGACATTTCCAGCAGAGAGAACAGCACACATAGGTCATAGAGGAGTGAAAGAGCACAATATATTTGGAAAACTCACAAGATCAAGATCTGTGGGGGCTGGGGGGCTGGAGAGGGTTGTAGAGAAACAACCCTCAGAAGAGAGTGCAAAGGGGGTCTCACGTACCACAATAGAGAGGGTGAGCCTTATGCTATAAGCCAGTGTTTCTCCAAACGTGATTCTACCAGATTTCACCTGTAGATGGGCTCAAAACACTGTTTTCTGGCCCTTGCATCTGGGATGAAGCCCTGGAATCGGTATTTTCAGCAAGCACCTGGGTGACACTGATGTTCATAATCCAGAGAGCTACCAATGATTTTTACAGGAGGCCATAATGTGATCGGATTTGTATTTTAGAAATACACTTCTGGACAAAGCAGACCATCTTGAAGAAGGCAGATCCATGGCTGCTAAAAGAGCTTGAAGCTTGACTTTGCATTAGAACCACCTGGGGAACTTGTAAAATCATAGATTTTTCACACCTCACCCAAGACTCACTGCATCTGAAGCAAGGTGGAGGGGGCTAGGATTTATATGAGGCTGAACCACATGAAATCTCATTTTTTTAGCTCAAAAATTATCAAATATTGGCAATTTCTCATATCTTGATCCAATATTTTTAACAACACCTCATCCCCGTGTTTCTGATACACATCAACGTCTGAACATAGCTGATGAATTACAAGCAGAGCTAAATGCTTTCCACTTTTTATTAATTACCTCTGTCATTACTCATGATGATTAATGTGCCAAGATAGAAGTTTCATAATTTATGTACCTAAAACAGATGTTTAAAGAAAAATGGGGGAGGGGTCAAAAATGGCTACCAATGAGGTAAGGCAACCAAGTAAAGATTTCAGAGTAAGAAGGAACACTGAAGATTAGCCAGCTCTTTCCCCAACCCCAACACAAGTTTAAACATGAGGAAACCAGTGTCTACATGCAGAAGCAACATGCTTATAGTCATACTGAATATTTTATTCAGTTCCTCAACAATATTACTTTCACATGCATTTTAAAAGCTATTGAACTAGGCACTGTGGCCTACACCTATAAACCTGGTGTCTTGAACAATAGAGGCAGGAGGACCACAAGTTCAAGGTCAGCCTTGGAAACTTAGTGAGACCCTGTCTCAAATTAAAAAGGGCTGGTGACTTAGCTCAGTGATAAAGCGCTCCTGAGTTCAACCCCCACTACCAACAAATAAATAAAAGCAAAAGCTTTTCAAATCATTGTAGTTTAGAAGCATCTAGGATTTAACTTAAAGAGTGCTTAGCATCACATGAAGGAAACCCTAACATACTTGAAATGAGATGGAGGTAGTCATAAGACAAATACTTATGTGCATCCATTTTTAAAATCAAACCAAAGATCTTAAATAATACAAAATCTAGAACAGTGCTTGGAATATAACAGATGCTTAATAAATATTTATTGAGTGAATGAATGACCTCTAAAAAATAAGTTAAAGGAAGTATATTAATGCAAAGCGTTTCTAAGGAAGAGTCCAGGAGGTGAACTGAGTGTAGATTTCCCATCTCCTCACGGGTTCCAAGCACCCTTTCGTGTCCATTATCATTGGTGGTAGTGAAGCTCACAGAGGAGCAGTCTTTCAATCCCATCCAAATAGAAATAATAACTAACACTTACTGATAGCTCATAAAAGTTACGTAATAGCAATACACCCATAGATAACGCTAGCTCTATGCTAAAATAATAACTAGCACTTGCCTACTAGGAGTCAGGCTTGTCAGGACTTTGTGTACATTAACTCATTTAATCCCTGCAACAACCCTCTAGTGTAAGCACTGCTATTATTATTTTGATGTGGATGGAGAGGTTAAGTAACACAAAACCACACAATTGGAAAGTAGCAGAGTGGAGTGTTGAACCCAGGTGACCTGGTCCCCAGAGTTTACCAACCAAACTCTCCAACCCCTCTGTGGGAAACAAAAAGCTGCCTGCAAGCTGACCCCTTGTAGCACTCACGTCAGGAAGATGGCATTTCTGGATAATGAAATTTGGCCCTAGTCTTTTCATCCATAGGAATGAAACGTTTTATTTGGAAAGACTATACACAAAGTGAGAGCCAGGAATCAACAAAATAAGGCAAGAAGAACCAAGAAGGACTGTTATTATCTGCCTTGACCCAGAATGGTTATCACTACCTATGAATAGAAATAATGACTAATTTGAGCCAATAAAATGCCAAACTTGGACTCCTCCCCTTAAGAATGTGAGTCTTCATGTGAAGACACTTTCAAAAGATGCAGCAAATAAGGAATTTAAAATAAAAAGACCAACACAGGATAAATGTTTTCAAAATAACTAACTATGGCTTGAAGAACTGTCCTTCCAGCACTCCCTGAGGAGCCTAGCGTTCTGAGTAGAACCCTCTGGTACAAGCCATCCAGCCTGACACCCCTAAAGAACACTGAGAATGCAGGAATGGGGAGCATCCTGCAAGCCTGATGAGTTAACTGCACAACCTGAATATCAAGTACTAAAGAAAGAAAAGTTTAGAAAACAAGTCAAGATCCCAGAGAAATGAAGCAGATCTAAAAAGAAGGGCCCAGTTGAAACAGCTTTTCATTCCAGGATTCCAACCCCACCTCCCCAGTCTCCCTTCATCCAGCTATGTCACGGGTCAACATGAAACAAATACAGGCTAGGCAATATAAAGGCAGAAATTATGCAAAATAAAATGCATACTGGAGATGTCTTCCCAGGGGAAAAAAAAATACTTTTAAGAATTCCCTACACTTTCCCATAACAACAAACCATAACAACAAACTGCTGAGACGCACATAAACAACCCCAGACTGTGCCCAATTCACCCCACTTCACATCGTACTAGAGTATCCTGGCTGAGGGATAGGTGCCCTGTGCCCATAAGAAGGCCCCCAGAGTCCGGCCAAGTCCAATGGCCTCTACAGTTGAGTTTGCCTAACTCTTACCCAAGTCCCAAGATCTTGAGATTCTCAGAGCAACCTTTTCCCCCACGGCCTTCGCTCAACGCCAGCCAAGATACAAAATCTGTTCCAAACCCGCGCAGTTAACCTCCAAGCAGTGTCCCAGAAGAAAGCAATACTTGGGAGTCTTCGCTTAGGCGCAGAGGTGGGAGGCGCGGGAAAGAGGTAGGTCGCAAAGTGTTTCCAGACACTGTGTTTTCCGCACCGGAGAAAGTACTCGCGACAAACTTGAACAAGGTCTTCCCTGTCTGGCCCGAGATGCTGGAGGAGGAGGAGGAGGGGAGTAACCCGAGCCGGGGCCGGGATGCGCGCAGTTGCCGCTGCTGCAGCTGCTGCCGCCGGGGCAGTGGCCGCTGAGGGGGTGTCGTTTGGCGCCGCTCTCGGTCCCTATTGCAATAGACAGAATCCTTCTGGCGGGACTCCTTCACCCGGGTCGCAGTTCTCCCCTCTCTGAGCAGCTTCCACCGCTTCGGGTGACCCCGCCAATGGCCGGGTCACGAAGTTGGCAAACCTTTGGGGTCGCCGCAGTGGTTGAACGAAGTGGTGGCAGAGTGTGGTTCTGGTCTTCGTCCTGACCCACTTTCAGTGCGAACCCCTTGTCGAAGTCCACGGGAGGTGTTCTATACACTCTCTAAGGATTTGGGGGACCGGGCCAGCGCCCGAGCGGCCAACTGGAGTGGACGGCGCGTCCCCACTAGTGTCAAGGGAGGGAGGGCAAGTAAGAGAATGAGAAGGGGCAGGTGGCCACGCGGTGCCACCGTGCGCTATGCAGCAGCAAAGTGGTTGTGAACGTAGGTCAGGGAGGTGGGGATGGAGGGCGGAGGATGAGAGAGCCCGCTTTACAGAGGCGGGCGGGGAAGAAAACTCCCGGGACGCGCAAGAAAATCCCCCCAGGCCCTCTGCGAGGACTCGCACGGTGATTTCTTGGGGAATGGCTCCCTCTGCCGACTTGGCTAGGAGGCCCCGGGAGACCAGTGATGGAATGTTCCCACCATGCAAATGCTTTATTTACTCAGTGGATTGGACGGGAATCTGATTCTCAGACTGTCCACCTTTAGCTTCCAGATTGAAGAATTTCCCCAACTCTAGACGACCCAGAAAGATACCAGCCTCTCTAACTGCTAGAAAGTTCTTTCTTATTATTTCTTATGCTAATTATACACACACCCCCTCCAAAAAAAAGACTGGCTTGGGCCCCATAGTCACACCAAATAATCCTCTCCTACCAGGCTTCTTCACGTTAATGTGAGAGCTCTCTCTCTCTCTCTCTCTCTCTCTCTCTCTCTCTCTCTCTCTCTCTCTCTCTCTCCCTCCCTCCCTCCCTTTTTTAAGAAAGTTCTCAAGTGCATGTGTCCCTAGTCAGTAACCACTCCTGGCAAATAGTCTGGACTCCGATTTACGTTTGAATGAACGCATATAAAGAATGAATGAGCATATTCATCGTGTGAACAGAAATGAACATGTTTGAAACCTATCCGTATCCTCCTGGCTCTCCCCTGGAAACACACTGGGGAAGACCGTTTCTGCGGGTGAGGTAGTTGGTTGGTTTAGAGACGTCATTGCCGGTTCTCTGGTAACAGTACCTACGTTTGTCTTTGGGTTACCACATCTGCCACACAGTACAGTCTAAGTAGGAAGGTCGTTTAGGATGGTTAGGTTTTGCCCTGCTCAGAAGTGGGCACCTCACCTAAACTAGCCCCTCATGCTTTCCCTGCCAGAAACCTGAAAGTTGATCAGAAAAGTCAAAGAGAGATCAACCTAGAGCTGATTGATCCATATCAAGGATATCAGTAAGTAGTTTATTACCCAAAGTCATCCTGTTTTTGCTTTATAAAATTTGTTCTCTGCTTTCCTTTGGATGTTTTAATTGGCTTTATTGGAACAAAATTAATGTACATTCCATATATTCTCATATGAAGTGCACAGTCTGATGAGTTTCCAACAATGTTCACACCTGTGACCACTACCCCAATCAAGATAATGGACAATTACATTTCCCCTAAGATACTCTTTGAAGTCAATCCTCCACCTCATACCACTCTAGGTCCACTGAGTTATTTTTATAACTACAGATTTATCTTTTCCAGAATTTCATGTGAATAAAATAATATTATGCATATTCCTTCATTTGGCATGTTTTTGAAATTTATCCTGTTGTTTTGCCTGTATCAAATTTTTTGATCCTTTTTGTTGCTGAGTTGTACTCCATGAGTACAACACCATTTGCCCATTTACCAAATGTTGATGGACATTGAGGTTGTTTCCACTATAGGGGCATTATGAATAAAGCTGCTAGGAACATTCTTATACATGTTCTTTGTGGACATATGTTGTGGTTTCTCTTCTCTCATAGGAGTGGAATTAATAGTTCATACACAAATGTGTGTTTAACTGTAGAATAGACTGTTGAACAGATTTCTTAAATGGTAATATCAATTTACATTCCCATCAGCAATGCATGAGAGTTATTCTATATCCTCTGCAAAAACTTGGTATTTGCTCTTTTTATTTAGTCATTCTTTTGGCTATGTAGAGGTATCTCATTGTAGTTTAAATTTGCATTTCCTTAATAGTAATAATGGAGAGCATCAAAAATGTTTACTACCATTAAATTTATTTTAAAAATTTATTTCATGTGCTTTTGTGACATTTGTTCTTTGGTAAAGTGTCCAAATTTTTGCTCGATCTTTAATTGAGTCATTTGTATTCTTGTTATTGGGTTAAAGGAGTTCTTTATATATTTTAAATACTAGGCCTTTGTCATACACACACACCCTCACGTACACACACACACACACACACACACACAC